GCGATACCTGCTCACCTATCAAAATACAACGCTCAAGAACATCGTCAGTACCCGCACTCGTTATAGCGAGTGCGGTCTCAAAATCAGCAAGCATATCACAGTAATCTATGTCATCATGCAAATGAGAGTGTTTCCCATTCTCAGACACAGAAAAGGTAGCCTGTTCATCACCAGCACGCAGAATCAATTTACCACTATGCACATCAATAAGCGCCTTGGCGGTGGCGAGAAACGGTCTACCTAAAACCAAAGGTACATCCACATCCTCATTTATATCCAAAATAACAAAGTCAACAGGATATGTGAATGCACCCACATTAACAAGCAAGTCATCAATGATACCCCTAGGATGCACGATAGAACGATCAGCTAACTGAATGCTCATCCTAGTAGTTCTAGGTTCACCTAAGCCTAGCTTCTTAAACAATTTATAAGGCATGACATTTATGCTAGAGCCTAGGTCCGCCAAGGACTTTCCTACATGCATGCTGCCAATAACAAGAGGGACAGTGAAACTCCCTGGGTCTTTTCGCTTCTAGTGAAAGTCCCCGGTGCCCTGGTGGTGTTCTGGCGGGCCAAGATACCCACCTAGTTATGCAGATCTTGCAAGATGGCACCCTGGTTCCGCTGACCTGCCTCCAGTGACGTGATAGCTGCCTGAGTGCTAGTCATGAATGAAGCTAGAATATTTTCCCGCTTCGTCATCTGAGTATCTGGAGCCGGAGCTGCTGCTGGCTCGATGAACTGGCGCTGGGGCTGCTGGAATGGTTGCCCCTGCCTAGGCTGGTAGGGCTGCTGCTGTGGGGCTGGCCCCTGTCGAGCCTGGAAGGGCTACCTCTGCTGAAAGCCACCAGCTGGTGCTGGGAAACCAGGTGGCTTAGTGGTGTTGCTGCCCCAAGAGAAGTTGGGATGCTGGCGCCACCCCTCATTATATGTGTTGCTGTACGGGTCGAGGCGCCGAGCATTGACGATGAAGTCCAACTGCTCTTTGGGAGTAGTAGACTCCCTCATAGCCTGGCAGTCTTCCACTAAGTGATTCGAGCTCTCACACCACTGACATTGAGCAACTGGAGGTGTAGCCAAACCTCTGCCCGGAATAAGACTGTTGGGCTGCTTCAATGTCTACACTAGCTCAGCTACCTCCTGCTCGAGCCCGGATCTGGTCTCCATGGCGTGCACACCACGGTCCCGGGAATGTCTGCCTCTGCTGCTCTGTCCCCAAGAATGATCTCTGGCAGCCAAGGTATTGATCATCTGGTTCAGCTCGGGTGGAGTCTTAGTAAGAATATCCCCTCCTGGGTATAGAGACCCAATCACCCTCTAGCTATCTGGAGAGAGAGCACTATAGAAGTTCCCCACTGTGAATGCATCACTAAAGCCATGATGGGGACACTGCCAGAAATATCCCATGTACCGCTCCCATGCATCACGAAGTGACTCATCTGGCTCTTGGCGGAAGTGAGTGATCTCCTGCTGGATCTCTGTAGTCTTCGATGCCGGATAGTACCTGTGCACGAATTTGTCAGCCAGATCGTCCCAAGAGGTGATGGAAAATGGGGGCTGGGTCTCCAACCACCTCTTAGCATTCCCCGCCAGAGAATGGGGGAAGAGATGAAGGCGGATTGCATCATCAGGGACACCATTCAACTTGAACCCGTTCGTCAGCTGCAGAAAACGGGAAAGATGCACCCTGGCCTCCTCATCCTTCAAGCCATGGAACTGGATAGAGGATGTAATGAGCTGAATCCAGCATGGCTTGATCTCGAAGTTGTTTGCTGGAATAGGCGGGTAGAGGATGACCGGGTGGATGTTAGCAATCCGTGGAGTGTAGTAGTACTCCAAGGTGGGACCCGGCGGCGGGTGATGATGATGAACCCCATGATCCTGGGGTATGGGATTGTTCCCCAAGACCTGATTCACCGGGGGAGCCTGCTGAGATTCCCCTGGTGCTGATTGTAATCTCCGTCCATCCTGTACTCTTCCTCAGAATCGCTGCTCAGGTGGCCGTCTATGCGCTCTTCCGTAGCCAGTCTAGCTCGCTGTTGTCTCCTGAGTTGGCGACAGGTGCGGTCTATCTCTGAATTCAACGGCAGTAAACCTCCCGACTGGCTACGGGTCATGCACTACCTGCACATACTCAAGCAAACACACCCGTGAAGGCACAAGTGGGACAAAGCAAACAAAGCGAAAAGAAAAGCTAAATTAACAGAAATCACTTTTCTTCAACAACCTAGCCGTCCCCGGCAACGGCGCCAAAAACTTGACTCACTTCTACTGTCACCCTAGGAATTGGCCAAGTGAAACCACTTCCTAAAGTGTAGTATAGCGGGTTTGGGTTTAAATGTCAACCCGGGTCCTAGATTTGATGACTACTCAGTGAATTCTTGTTATCTAGCAATGAAACTTTAATGCAAGTCTAAACTAACAAACTAACAAAGCAAGTAAACTGTTGTTTTCAGGTTAAGAGAGGTCACCCGGATATGGTTCCCCCTAGACTGCAGTTAAGCCGGATTGTAATTACCAAGTTCAGTTTCTATGATAGTTATACTGCGGAAGGTTCTCAAACATCCTGAAGTCTCGACTAAAGGTCTTCAGACCCTCTCAATCTGAGTCTCTAGCGGGCGACTAACCTCCACCGGAGTAAACAGATTGAGGCCTTAACAAACAAAACCTCCACTACCGGAGTAAAACCGGTACAGAATAGTGAGTTGGCTCCTCGACTAAAGTCACCAACTCCCTACCTTCAATCAAGGATGCTCTATCAACCTAGGCAGATATTCTCATTCTAGGTTAAAGTAGAAACAACAGGAATTTGATCAGGATTCATGCCATTCAATCATTCAAACCTCAATCGAATATAATCAAATCATAGAATCAGTACTTGGGTTCATACAATCAAAGCCTAGCATACAAATCTAGGGTTCTCCATACCCAGATGAATGGGAGAACTACTCCATGGAGAAAGAAGCAAAAGCAGAATCAGACGCGGAATTCATACTGTGAAGGATGGATTCCTACTCCTGGACGTTGATCGGCACTTCTCCAAGCTCAAGCTGGCCTCCAATGGTGATGAAGATCAAGCTAGGGCACTTGGAGACTCTTGTTCGTCGCTTTCTCTCTCTAGGAATCGCTCTGTCTCTCTAAAACTCGAATCCCCTTCTGTCTACTCCATGGAGAAAAAAGCAAAAGCAGAATCAGACGCGGAATTCATACTGTGAAGGATGGATTCCTACTCCTGGACGTTGATCGGCACTTCTCCAAGCTCAAGCTGGCCTCCAATGGTGATGAAGATCAAGCTAGGGCACTTGGAGACTCTTGTTCGTCGCTTTCTCTCTCTAGGAATCGCTCTGTCTCTCTAAAACTCGAATCCCATTCTGTTTTGGCTGAAATCTGCTTAAAAGGGCATCAGTGGCCAAAGCACGGTCGAGGGCACGGCCGTGCTTTGCTTCGGCCCGCCCGTGCTTTGGCTAGGGTTAATTACACGGCCACCTGTTGGTGAAAACATGGCCGTGCTTTTGAGAGGACACGGCCGTGCTTTGGTTGACACGGCCGTGCTTTCAGCCCGTGTTTGCAGCTTGAATTTGCCAAACTCAATTAGCTCTCGGCAGTAAAAGCACGGCCACAGAACACGGCCGTGTTCTGTTTTAGGTGTGCCCGTGTTTTGGCTCCAGCTCCACCGAATGACTTCCGAATGCCCCGAAACTCGTGCTTAGCCTTTCCTTTGACGACCGGGACCTAAAATATGACAAAATAGCACAACCCGGCGTAAAATAGGACAAAAATACACGACTATGCCCCTCAAACGGATAAGAACTAGGGCCGCAAATATGTGCAATTACATCGTTATCATTCTTAAATGGGCTTGGGTCCAACAACCAACCCCCATGAGCCTATGTCCCCCACTGGTTCATCTGTGCTCACCCAACAGTTTTCAATCTAATTAGATCAAATTGAAGTAATATAGAGAGAGTAGAGTATGCTAAAAATAAATCTAGAATCATTAATGGGATCCCAAGCCCTAGTCGAGTTTGATTCGAGTTCATATATCACGTTATTTTTTAAATAATAATTTTTAATGCTTCATATCATGTTATTTAATGTTAACTAGTAAAAATATATAATACATCCTTTCTCTTTTATATTATAAATAAGTAAATAAACGAGATATATATGCCCTTGAACCTAGAGTGTCAAACGTCATAGGTAGTTAAATATATAATCTAACAAAATTGTGATTATCATTAAGCCAACTCATAAGTTATAGATTGATTCGCTCATAAAATATAGATCGGTTTGCTTATAAGGCGCTAGTCAAACTAGCGTGCTAGCCACATAGAGAGCTAGCTCAAGAGTCGAGGTCAACAAACCACTAGTTGGAGTTTGCTGCAAGCTGAACAAGACATAGCTCAAAACTCAGTTTGTTAATAAATTAAAGAAGCTAGGTGTTGAACAAAATTTTCCGAATCGAAGGCCAAACCGTTCATGAGCTACTTCAACAATCTCTCAAAAACTTGAGATTTAACTATCACTCATTTTGAGTGATAGTTTGTGTCACATGAAGCAAAAAATGTATGTATTGTTGTATAAAATTAAACAAAACAAAAAGCAATACATTGTGAACAATGCATGCATTGTAATTATTTGGTTGGGATAGTTACAATGCATGCAATGTCCACAATGTTTCATTTTTTTGAATTTTCTGCACAAACAGTACATGCATTGTTTGCTCGATTTGACACAAACTATCACTCAAAATGAGTGATAGTTAATGGGTCGTTCACTCGTTTGGCTTTTGTGATAGTTAAATTGATGTATTGCCATCAATGCATGCATAATAATATACATGTATATAAGAAAATTGGTGTGTTGTAGTTTACATCGTTTGGTTTCTGTGATAGTTATTGTAGTATTTAAATAAATAAATAATATAACTTTTTGGGTGAAATATCACTTTTACCCTTTGTATTTAATATAAAAAAGCAACACACTTAAAAAGGTAGGGACATATTTGGAAGAAGAAGAAAACACAACAATCTCCATCAAACAATCTCAACAATCTCCATCCAACTTTCATCGAGATCCTTGGATCCCTGCCCTCCCCTCTTACTCGTTATCTAGCCTCAACCTCCCCCCGTCGCAAGTCAGTAACTGGATCCACCTGAATGAGAGAGCATGGGATGTGGAGGCCCTTCGGAATGTTTGTTCCGAAGATGTCATGGAGGCGATCAGTCGTCTCCCAATTGGACCTGTGGAGTCAAAGGACGGCTGGGCATGGAAACATGCATCTAATGGAAATTTTACTGTCCGATCAGCCTACCATGTTCTTTGTGAAAGCCGTGATCAGCAAACTTCTACACCACCACCCATGAATAATCGACCTGCCAACAACAATTGGAAGTGGCTCTGGTCGTTGGCTCTCCCACCAAAAAATTGTTTCTTTATATGGAAATGCTCTAAAAGAGCCATTGCTATAAGGGAAAGACTTTTCTCAAGGTCTTGTGAACCAAGCCCAAATTGTCCCATATGTGACGCGCCAAAGACCACTTTGCACAGCCTCTTTCACTGTCAGCATGCGTCGGAGACTTGGCATCTCTCAGGATTGATTGCCCCTCCCCCTCAAGATGCCTCCTTCGCCTCTTGGTTCTTCAACCTGAAGGACACCCACACTGACGCTCATGTTTGCAAGATTGCATACCACCTTTGGAATATTTGGCTTGCCCGAAATGCTTTCATCTTCGACAACATGGCTCCTTCCCCGGCCTCATCCGCAATTAAGTCGGGTCGTGACTTCATGGAATGGGAGGAATCGCGTACTTCTCCTGCTCTTTTCTCTTCTTTCCAACCGACTCTTTTGCACCCTCAGCCTAGGGGTTCCCGTTCCAACACCACACCACCGCCGTTCTCTCGAGTGATGTACTGTGATGGGTCGTTTGTTTCCGACTCGAGATTGGCGGCTTATGGGATTACTTTTGTCAATTCTCATGGTCAGGTGTACGACGGCAAGGCTGAGACTTTCCTGTGTTCGCATCCGATTCAGGATGAAGCCCTTGGTCTCCTCAACGCCATCCTGCTTGCGGTTCATGATGGGATTCCAACCTGCATTCGTACGGATTGCCAAGTGCTTTCTCTTACTCTCAATCAGGACCCCTCGGCATGGCCATGGCATTGTCGAGCTACCATTGCTCAGATGTCTCTCCTTCTTCGGTCTGCTCCTTGGATCCGGATTGAGTTCGTTCCTCGACGGCTTAACCACTTGCAGATTGGGTTGCTCACCAAGCTAGGGAAGCTTCGTTACCTTTGGAATGGATCTTAATTGTTAATATTATTGCACCATTGCTTTAACGAACATTTGGGGCCTTTTCGGATGAAATACAAGGATTCTCTGATTGTCAAAAAAAAAAAACAATCTCAACGAAAACTTGAGATTTAACTATCACTCATTTTGAGTGATAGTTTGTGTCAAATCAAGCAAACAATGCATGTATTGTTTGCGAAGAAAATTAAAAAAACTATGCATTGTGAACATTTCATGCATTGTAACTATCCCAACCAAACTATGACCAAAACCAAGCGACCCCTAAATCTCAATTTTTGGTTGAGATTGTTGTGTTTTTTTCTTCTTCCAACTATATCCCTACCTTTTATGTGTTTTGCTTTTTTATACTAAAAACAAAGGATAAAAATGACATTTCAACCATAAAGTAATATAATTTATTTAAACACTACAATGACTATCACAGAAACCAAACGATTTAAACTACAATACACCAATTTTCTTATATACATGTATGTTATTATGCATGCATTGATAACAATGTATCGATTTAACTATCACCAAAACCGCACAACCCAATAGTTGAAATTAAAGCCCATAACAATGATGGCACAAACAATATCTTGAGCCCAGTGGAGGAGGTATCCCGTCTGTACTAGGCCGAACCCAATAGGAAAGGGCGAAAGGCAGAGGCCCATTCACTCATTCTCCAAACAGCAACAGCCTGCAAAAGGAGGTTCGGTAGTAAGTCTGCAACGACGTGGGAAGGAATAATCGGATTCTGTCCGGCTAAACTTTTGGAATTTGGTCCGCCCGAGAGAGCATCCGGACCCAATCTTCGAATGAACCCGAACGCTTAAGCTAGCGACGCCACAACTCGACGAATTGACGAGCACAACGAAACGAACTAATTTCCGGATCGCCGCCGGATATATTCGAAATCCAACACGCCGCCCGGAAAAATCCACATGCCCGAGCAGCAGAAGGAAGCTAACAAAATTTCATCGTCTCAGTCGAACTGCACGCCGGAGGAATTTGAATTCGTGCTTGCCGGAGCAGCAGAAGGGAGGAAGGGAACAGCTTCTTTTATCGTAGCTCTTCATCTGACTCGACATGTTTTCTAAATTCTTCAATAAGAACGTCGACGCAGCGGAGCAAACTCCGCCGTCTACCCAGGTACCGTTCTTTGTTGACATCTATCTATCTCTCTTCTGCAGTAATGGCAGATTTCATGAAGAGTTTACCGAGCTTGCTGGAGCTTCATGTGATAACTCTCATTAGCGAACGAAATTGAAAAAAAAAAAAATTTTTTTGGTAGAATGGGAAAAGAAATGAAGAGTAGAACCAATTTTGCAGAATCATTTCTGTAATTATTAAGAATTGGTATTCTTTTGGCAGGAAAATGCATCAAAAGGAAGTTTGACGTTCAAAGACATAAATCCTCGTGTTAATCTTCACTATGGAATTCCTTCTACCGCGTCTGTTATGGCTTTTGATCCAATTCAAAGTCTTTTGGCAGTGGGAACATTGTGAGCCTCCAATTCTAATTGCTTTCTGAGATTATTTCAGCTTATAATCCAGCTCACACAACTGATTTACAGCAAAGTTCATAGTTAGTGAAGTCAGGTGGTTTAGCTCTTGTTTGTTATTTGGTGCAGGGATGGGAGAATAAAAGTGATTGGTGGTGATAACATTGAGGGGCTTATGGTGTCTCAAAAGCATTTCCCCTTTAAGTACTTGGAGGTTTGAAATTGTTAAGCAACAGATTTCCCCATCTTCGTTCACTATCTTATAACCTGCGCTCTTACAAATTTAGTTCCTTCATTTTTGTTTGGCAGTTCCTACAAAACCAAGGTTTCTTAGTCAGTGTCTCGAGTGAAAATGAGATTCAGGTACAATTTCTGTGGATGCACAAAACTTAAATGTGGATGTAAATGTGTATAAAATAGGTTAATTGGCAGGTGTATGGTGTTTACAGGTTTGGGATTTAGAACAAAGACGGATAGTTTCTTCCTTGCGATGGGAGTCCAGTATTACCGCATTCTCTGTGATACATGGATCAAGCTATATGTATGATACTTGGAAAAAAGAACTCTTTCACAATTTGGTATTTAAGCGGCAATTTATTGTTATACTCTATTTGACCTGCTATTATGATCTCACTGCTTTAGGTATGTTGGAGATGAGTATGGCATGGTTTATGTGGTAAAATACAATGCAGAAGAATCCTCTCTAGTGCCTCTCCCATATTATGTTCCAACAAGTGCAATAGATGGTAATGTTACACCTCTGCCAACTCTTTTGATGAAATAGAGTGGAATAAAGGGTTGTGTTCAAGAGCTTTCTGCGTAAGCTTCTTTTTGTGATAATTATAGATGCTTTTCCTTTTAATTATAACTTAAACTTGTGGGTTGTGGCTATTCTCTGTTCTTTTTGGGTATGTTTGTCCAATTACAAGCTGTGCTGCTGTTGCTGATATCTGCCGATGCCTGATATCTGTACATAATAAGCACTGGATTTTGCTGAATTCTGCAGAACCATCTGGAGGATCATCATCGAACCAACACTCTATTGTAGGAGTTCTTCCCCAGCCATCTTCTCAAGGAAATAGGCTAGTGCTTCCTAAATCTTTTTTCTCATGAAGGAGTTGGAACCCTGTTAGTTGTATGTTCTTCCCTTGGTCAGTGTGAGGCTGTATGTATGCTACCTTCTTGCTCAAGTCTTCCTCTTTTTGCAGAGTGTTAATTGCTTATGATAATGGATTACTCATTCTATGGGACGTGTCTGAGGATAAAGTTATTGTGGTTAAAGGGAATAAAGATCTTCAGTTGACGAGCAAAATAGCTGTCAATTCTCAAGAAGAGTTAAGACAGGAGGAGCCTTCAGACGATGAGCAATTGGAGAAAGAGATAAGTGCTCTGTGTTGGACATCTGGCAGTGGGACAGTTCTTGCTGTGGGTTATGTTGATGGAGACATAATGTTGTGGAACCTATCAACAAGTGTTCCCTCTAATGGAAATGATGTTGTTAAGCTACAATTATCATCAAATGCCAGTAGACTACCAGTCATTGTTTTGCATTGGCGTCCAAAAAGACCACGTGATGACTGTTCTGGCCAACTCTTTGTCTATGGTGGTGATGCAATTGGATCTGAGGAAGTTCTAACGGTATGCTCTCATAATTTTTTAGGTTATTGCTTAAGTGGACCCTAGTTTCAACGTACTCACAACAAGCCATTGACCCTTCAAACATTAACTTACCATGGCAGCCTGTTTTTTTCTTACTGTTGAGGTTGGCAAGTTCAGTTGAACAAATCAGTGCATGATACAGGAGTCCTTAGGAAGAGAAATTAAGTACAGTTTAAAAAAATCAACTAGTCAAGATGAAGTATAAGATGTAATGCTAGTGAAACAGCTGAAAAATTATTTTGGATAGACGAAAACCTGTTATTGATGGAGAAGACCTGCCTATGGATGTTATATCATGACTGATTTTTTTATGGTTCATAGACATTCATTAGGGACACCAGTTAGAAAGCAATTATCATCCTAGCGATTTCTATCAGGTGTCATTTCTTTTCTCCAGTCTGGGATTAATCATTTTATGTCTCAAGTTCAGTAACTTTCTCATGAATTGTGCAGTGGGTTGTCTATCTTTGTCATAAAAAGATCAATTATCAAATGCATGATATTCACGTTTAACTGAAGTCTACTGATGCAGATTTTAAATCTAGACTGGTCTGCTGGAATTGGCAAACTAAAATGCATTGGGCGTACAGACATTACTCTCAATGGCTCTTTTGCTGACATGGTTCTGTTCACAAGAGGTGTTTCAGTGGATACAACTGGGATATTAGTGTTGACAAATCCAGGACAACTGCATTTTTATGACAGTGCTTGCTTGTCTAGCTTGACATCAAAGGAAAAGAAAAAAGTTACTGTGTCTCCAATTGAATATCCCATCGCCATACCTACTGTTGACCCAAACATGACTGCAGCAACGCTTGGTTTGATACGTGTAGAAGTGAATCTTTTGAGGGCTTTATCTGAGGTATGGCTTGTTTATTATTCTGCAGGAATTGTATTTAGGTTCATTTGCATGCAAAATTATGTCTAATCCCAGCCAAACAGTCAACATGAAATCAAGTTTGACTTTCAGTTTCATTGTTATCTCATCTTCGATTCGAGTCTTGTTGTTCAGGATGTAGAAACCAGACACCATTCTTCTTTTTGTCCCAAAAACGTCAAAACGCGTAGGGAACTCGGAAAAAAGGAATACAGAAGAAAAATAGACCGGATAGCTGCTGTGGAAATCTTATGGTTTTTGGTCAGTCAAGTAGGTTGCTCATGAAAACTTCGTCTAAAAAAGTATAAGCATATGTATTCTTTCTTGTTATTTGCCATCTTTTCTTCGGGATATTTTTCCTTCTAGCAATCGGAATCTCCTGCATATTCTCACATATCTTCAGCTAGAACGCTTCGTGTCACATTGTTTAGTTTATATGCTCATTTACTATTTGTTCCTGTACGCTCAGTTAATACAGCTGTTCTCCTTTTCATCGATCAGAAAATCGCTGCTGTAAAATTGAGAAGGGTTGAGGTTTCTGGAAATACAGATTGGCCATTGACTGGTGGTATTCCTAGCCAAATTATGGAAGCTGAAATTTATCAAGTTGAAAGAGTTTATATAGCAGGATATCAGGATGGATCTGTCAGAATATTTGATGCAACAAGTCCAACCATTTCATTATATTGTGTCTTAGGACCAGAGGTTTGTTTGGCAGCGTATTATCTTCTTACAAAACTCTTTCAAAAAATATCAATGGTGATAAAAGCCTAACATTGTGTGATGAGCAGGTCAAAGGTACAAGTATTGATGCAGCAAGTGCACCAATATCTGCACTGGAGTTTTGCTCCGCCAAGTTAACTTTGGCTATTGGCAATGAACTTGGTACGGTAAGAATACTTGGACCTTTTTTTTTATCAAATACCTTCTTTCCGCCTCATTAAGGTCTCATGTCCTAGTCTGTCTAAGTTTTGCATATTGTGCAGGTGCTTTTATACGATTTAACTTGGACTACAGATGCAATGCAGCTAAACTGCGTTACAGAAAATGGAAAAGAAGGTTTGTTCAGTTCTATATCTTTTATCTGGATTGACTTTTTTGGTGCTTTGTATAACCATATTGTTTGTTGCAAAAGGATATCTCCTGCCTTATTTACATATTAGTGAATTGCAGTTTACACTGTACAAGGAGGGGATGAGCCTCACTGCACAGCCGTGTTTACCTTCCATACTTCACCTATAAGCACTCTTCAATTTCTGCATTCTGGATCCAGACTTGGTGTTGGATTTCACTCTGGAAGGGTGGGGAATCATTTGTTTGGCCCTTTTTCCATGTTTCTCCCTTTTATGTGGTTGAACTATTAACTGGCAATGCCACAACTTATTTATAACACATTGGCTTATGGTGTTTCAGGTGGCATTGCTTGATATTAACACATACTCAATATTGTTTCTCACTGATAGTATGTCCAACTCCTGTTCTCCAATTAAATCGCTGGATATGAGGCCATCTACTGAAACTATTAGTGTGATTAAGGATCTAGGGCAGAGTGAATCCAAATGTATGGATAACAGTGCCGATCAGGAAGTTTTTGTTGTAACCAAGGATGGGCAGTTTGTACTTCTTGATGGAAACACGGGAAAAATCATCATTTCTCAGTCGCTTAAAGCCGAAGACGAATCCATTGTTGTTTCTATGCACATCATAGGCAAGTATTTGCAGGTTTTTGGGGGCAATATTGCAGTACTGTAGTTAAACATGACGTCCCTGTGGATCTTACTGATTTCTCACAAGCTTCTTACCCCCCTTTAGATAGTAGCAAGACGACATGCGAAAGTGGAACCACCCATGGCAGTGATAATCCACTCAACACAGATGAAGAAGCTACTTCAGGAGCCTCCGGTTGTGGGAAGACAGCTGAAAGTTTCTGTCTTGTGCTTTGTTGCGAAAATGCATTGCACCTATACTCTGTCAGTGCTCTTCAGGAGGTTTTTTGTCTCTTATTTTAAGTTTCTGGTTCAGCAGTTGCAATCTTTCTCCTTTTCCAGCAAGTCACATACTTTATCATTTTTCAGGGAGGTACAACCCCTGTTGAGACGATGAATCTTTCGAAGCCATGCTGTTATGCTACAACTTTCAAGAAGGATGACAAAGATGCTGGACTCATTGTGATTTATCAGACTGGGGAAATTGACGTGAGGTGAATGACCTAGTTGCTTGGCACTCAATTGAATCTATGTATCTTGGTGTTATCCGCTCTTTCATGTTCTAGTTGCACCCATATCAAATCAGTTTTTGAGTGGAAGCTGATCTATTATTTGCCAGGTCTTTGCCAGACTTTAGATTGGTGGGTGAAAGCAATTTAATGATGATTATAAGGTGGAACTTCAAGACTAATATGGATAAGATGATATGTTCCTCAGAAAGTGGGCAGATTATGTTGGTTAGTACTAACTGCTTTTATCTGCATTCGTATTTTTCAAGGATTACAAAGTCCAGCTGATTAACTTCATGCTGCTTAGTTATTATGTTCTCAATATCACAGTACAGATGCCTGTTGCTTGATATCTTCAATAATGATTGTTGATAAATGAATGCACCGCTGGTGTAAAAAGCCTGAAGTTTTCCTTTTACACATGAACTGAGAGCTTCTTCGGTGTTAGCATCTTGGGTTCTCTATACTCTATCCCTTATCCACCCGTGTGATAGTCATTCTGAAGTCTAATTAAATTGAATTCCACTGCCTCTTCTCCGACTCTTTCTGACCTCCCACGAACCGAAGTCTAATTTTATCTTTCTGTTTGTCTTTTCTTATCTGATTTCTTAGCTGCCGTCTTCTGACATTTTCCTCATATCATGCATAATACTTTTGGTCATCTTTTGGAGTTGTTATCCGGAACCTTGTAATGATTGTAGTTTAGCCCTACGGTGGAAATCTAATCTCGAGAGCTGCTTCAATCTTCTTGAATTGTAGGTAAATGGGTGCGAAGTTGCTTCAGTCTCTCTTTTGGCATTTGAAAACGACTTCAGGTTTCTCTATATCATCTTCAGCCCAATTTTTTTTTCTTACATTGCATATTATTGCGTTGATGCATGGATTATTATTATTTTCCGAGAATGAACTTGATTTTCTAAAATGATTTTCTGCCATTCTAGGATTCCGGATTCGTTACCTGTTCTTCACGACAAAGTGCTAGAAGCTGCTATTGATGCTGCTGCCGACAATTTGTCTCCCAGTGAGAAGGATAAACAGGTAGAAGACGCTCTCTCTCTCTCTCTCTCTCCTCAATTCCAATGAACCACTTCTACAACTGTTTGAGCTTCTGTTGCTGCAGGGTTCCCTACCTGGAATTTTAGGTGGCATTCTCAAGGGTTTACAAGGAGGTAAGGTGGAGGAGCAGAAAGTGGGGTTTCCTAAGGTTGGGAAGAGTAACTTGACACATCTAGACACCATATTTTCCAATCCCCCATACTTGAAGCCTTCTTCTTTGAACTTTGACGATGACCGAAACGATGGTGTGGAACTTAGCATAGGTTCGTTTACACTGCCCATGTATTCTTCAACTTCATATCTGTCTTTCTCTAATGGTCTCACTACGTGGCACAGATGATATCGACCTCGATTTTGACCAGCACGTGGTAGTGGAAGCATCTTCCACCGAGGAGAGCAACAACGAGAAGAAAGGTATGTCATTTGAATGTCTGATGTGGGGCAGGTACTTCTGAATGCGACACGATTCTCAATTTTGTGCTGCTGCAGACAAGGGAAAGGAAAGAGAGAAGTTATTTGAAGGTGCAACGACTGATTCAAAGCCCAAAATGAGAACAGTTGAAGAAATCAAGGCCAAATACGGAAAGGAGGTTTGATTCCCATTGCTCCCCACGATCAGTTGACCCATACATTTCACTTCTGTTCTGTTGGTTTTGGCTTCTATTTACTACTATCGTTGCATGGCTGGCAAATCTTTTCAGGACGCTGCTGGAGCAGCTGCACTCGCAAGGAACAAGCTTGCCGAGCGTGGTGAAAAACTTGAGGTGGAGTGTTCAATGAATACCCTTCTCCTTGTGTTGTTTCATAAATTGTGTTACCTCCTGGCAGATGCATTTGCTAAAACCATATATCAACCAAATTATTCAATGACAACAAAGAGAATCCTCGGCTAACATACGCCCCAAAAACTCAACCAATCATTGTGTTGGTTTTAGTTTAAGCTATTGTGTTGGTTTTAGTTTGAGCTATTCACTTTGCTTCTTACTGACTTGAAATCTTTTTTCTCTGTTTTCTTGTATGCTTTACTGCAAACCAGAGGCTGAGCCTGCGAACAGAGGAGCTGCAGAATGGTGCTGAAGATTTCGCATCAATGGCTCAGGAACTCGCTAAGCGAATGGAGAAGCGTAATAAATGGTGGCAGTTATAATCATATCAGATCCCGTACCCAAAACAGACATTATAGTCGTTAACGAGCTTGCTTGGCTTTCAAGGTACAGAAGAAAAGAAGCCATTGTTGACCCTTCGTTTGGGTGGATACCCCAGTTACCACACTGTACCCAATCTCCAACCCCTACATTTTGACGTGTGCATAAGATATCTGCATATTTAACTACAGCTACCGCCTAAGCTTGTATATTGTGATTTGTGAATACAAAGAACACCTGAGTTTACATGAACACAATGTTTGACTGTCTAAACTAACAACATACACTGCCCACACCAGCCATAGGAGGAGGTGGATAGAATGATGAAAGTGTGCTCTCTGCGCAAAAAGAAGAGTGAATCCTATTCACTAGCTCGAGCCTTCCTGTTAGAAGCCTTGCATGACGCAGAAGTGTTTTCTTCTTATGGTTCTCACCTATGATTGTGTCTTCTTCTTCTCACCTGTGATTGCCGTCTTATTTCTTCAACTTCTCGTCTTCTCAGAAATCATTGAATCAACATCAGTTTGGCTAAAAAGAAGGCGTTCCATCAATGAATGTGCCCATAAATGAACCAACTTAGAGCTCAGATCTCCATGCATGAAGTGCAGCAGAAAGATGGATAGGATGTGATACCTAGTGATATGGGGGGACTTGGGAACCTTAACGTATGGCACTCATGAATGAGGATATTCTGGATTGATCCTTGGTGATTCCATATGAGCCACAAATGCCACTGCTAACGTCTATGCCATCAGGCTGAAGGGTTCTCAAAGCTTCAGAAACGTTTTCGGGATTTATCCCCCCTGCTAATAGCCAGCCATGCTTGCTTCGTATTGGAGGTAACTTAAACTGAAATTTCTTTTGCAACAGAAAGTGAAATTGACCGTTTAGAGTTGGGCCCACAGAATCATCCCTATATAATTAGCTCCAGCTTCTGCAGCGATTGCAGCATCTCTAGCTGACGTTAAGCCACACATTTTAACCACTGGTGATCTCTTATCATGTTCCTTACTAGCGGAAGATGCTTTCACCGATAAAGTAGTCAAGCAAGTAACTCTGTTTCTTGACCAAGACTGAATTTTCAGCCAGTTCAGTCTCCCAACCCTCACACCTGCACATGCCAAGCTCCTACTTTACCATGTTCTTGTCGCAAGAATTTGTACATTCTAGAATACCTAGTGTGAGAAAACTAGAAATTGCGGAATCGAAAGAGACGAGCTTTTAACGTGGTTCGGTCTCGCAGTGTACGAGACCTACATCCACGAAGAAGATGATATATCTTTTATTCCTTGATTACACGGCTGAACAGCCGGTTACAGTAATATATATACCCTATGCAACAATCTACTAGGGTTGGATTACTACTCCTACACGCATACGTAGTATCACACGTGAACGGAGTAACTCCACAGCAAACATGGGCTGTTGTAGGTATCTTCGGGTTGGGCTGCTGCCTCTCGTCAACATTGCCTCGGCCCAATACTCCCCCGCAAGCTGGAGCGTGAAGATCACGAACATTCAGCTTGGAAAGAAGGAAATGGAAGCGCTCAGCACCAAGTCCTTTTGTGAGTAAGTCAGCCAACTGAAGATCTGTATGAACCTTGACCGGCTGAACATCCCCAGACTGAACTCTTTCACGAACGAAGTAGCAGTCCATTTCGACGTGCTTAGTACGCTCATGAAACACCGGATTGGCTGCAATATGAAGTGCAGCCTGATTATCACAATGAAGAGGAGTGGGAGCAGACTGAACAACCCCAAGCTCCTGTAATAACCATCGCAACCATACTAGCTCGCTGACTGTGCTAGCCATGGCCCGATATTCAGCTTCAGTAGATGACCTAGCAACAACACGTTGCTTCTTGGTACGCCAAGAAACTGGAGCACCACCCAGACTAATAAAATAACCACTGGTAGACCTACGAGTGCTCTGACAGCCTCCCCAATCTGCGTCACAATAAGCTGTGAGACGCAATGAACTAGAGGCAGGGAAGAAAAGACCTTGTCCAGGAGAATTTTTAAGGTAACGCAGAACCCTGTATGCCGCATCCATATGCACCTGACAAGGACGATGTACATACTGACTAAGTATGTTAACTGCATATGTGATGTCAGGTCGCGTCACAGTAAGATAAAGGAGCCTCCCTACTAACCGACGATAAGGAGACGGATCGGCCAACACATCATCACATGGTTTGGTTAGCTGATGATTCTGTTCTACAGGGAATGCACTGGGTCGGGAACCTTCCATGCCAGCTTCTTCCAATATGTCAAGCACATATTTTCTCTGGCAGAGAGATACTCCTTGTGCAGTGCGCGCGCCACCTCAATCCCTAAGAAATAACGAAGTACACCCAGATCCTTGATGCTGAATTTATCATTCAGAAAAGACTTAACTCGAGTGATAAAAGGCACAGAATTACCGGCCAGGATAACGTCATCGACGTATATGAGAGCAACGACGAAAATGCTCCCCCGCTGGTAGATAAACAAAGAGTGATCAGCTGGGGAAGCTCGAAAACCAAGGTCACAGAGAGCCGTAGTGAATTTCTGGTACCAGTTGCGAGATGCCTGACGCAACCCATATATGGATTTGTGAAGACGACAAACACGGGAATCACCATGCTTAGAGAACCCAGGAGGTATCTGCATATAGACTTCTTCCTCGAGATCGCCGTGTAGAAACGCATTATTTACATCAAGTTGATGAAGAGCCCAGCCGCGACTAACGGCGACTGAAATAAGACATCGCACTGTGACCAGTTTAGCTACCGGAGCAAAAGTATCATGAAAATCAAGACCCTCAATCTGGGTGTAACCTTTGGCGACCAAACGAGCCTTGAAATGTTCAATACTGCCATCCGGGCGATACTTGATCTTAAAAACCCACTTACAAGCGATGACACGCTTGCCTGGAGGAAGAGCGACAAGGCTCCATGTGCCATTCTGCTGAAGAGCAACGACTTCGTTGGTCATGGCCTCACGCCAACGAGGATCACGCATGGCCTGCCAGAAGAATCGTGGTTCATCACCATGAGTGACTGCAGCAAGAAAAACTTGGTAAGAACGAGTGAAACCATCATATGAAATATGATTAGAGAGAGGATAGCGAACATCACTTCCCTGAGAGGCCCCCATAGTGACTGGACCCGTGACATAGTTCTCCAAGTATTTGGGGCGATGACGATTACGATCACCACGTTGGAGGACGGGTGCAGCCGGCGGGGGCGAGGGCGAGCTTGGACTATCAGGAGTTGAGGCTGGAGAGGACGAGTCCGAGGAGGAACTTGAGCCAGCCGAAGACAAACCAGCCGGAGAAGGAGTGACTGGTGAAGACGCATTCGAGGGTGACTCATCCGCTGGGGTGACGACAGGAGGCTGAGCATCAGCAAGAGTATCATCGCTGTCCTCGTCGAATGGAGGAGGAGAGCTCGCATCGGCTGGAGTGCGAAGCGCATCAAAATGGGGACGAGGAACCCAATGCAGAGTATCCTGCGTCGCCGGCTGAAAAGGGAAAATGTGCTCGTGAAATATAACGTCACGAGTAGTGAGCATCCGACGCTGCAACAAATCGTACACCTTGTACCCCTTTTGACTGCTAGCATATCCGAGAAAAACACATGCACGACCACGTGCCGCAAACTTGTCAAGATGGCCATGAGTGTCTTTTGAGTAAACTAAGCAGCCAAAAACCCGCAGATGAGTGTAAGTAGGAGGTCGCTGAAAGAGGACCTCAAAAGGAATACGGCCAGTCACTGAACTCGGTAGGCGATTAACGAGATAAGTGGCCGTGAGCAAACACTCTCCCCAAAACCGAAGTGGGAGACTAGCCTGAAAACGCAACGCCCGAGCTGTGTCGAGCAAGTTGCGATGCTTACGTTCAACAACACCGTTTTGCTGAGGAGTATCAGTGCACGATGTCTGAAAAAGAATACCTGCTTGGTCATAATAGTCTCGCAAAGGAGCTGTGGTAAACTCGGGACCATTGTCGGCTTGCACACGTTTGACCTGTGCATTAAACTGGGTTCGCACCATATGGAAAAATTGTAGGAGATATTTGCTAACGTCAGACTTAAAACGCATGAGATAGACCCAAGTACCACGACTGAAATCATCAACTATCGTCAAGAAATAATGTGCTCCACTTAACGAAGCAACTTTATAACCACCCCAGATATCCATATGAATAAGCTCAAAACAAGACTGTGTCTTTATGAAACTAGAGGGAAACGGACTGCGAGTCTGCTTAGCTCGCAAACAAGAATGACATGGGGAAACCTGCGTCCCAACAGAAAAAGACAATAAACGACCCAATTGCTGCAACTTCTCCGGGGAGGGATGTCCTAACCGATCATGCCAAGTGCCTTCAGAAACCTTCGAACCACCACTAACAGAGCATGCCTGCGTTCGCCCTTGACCAAACAGGCGCAAAAAATAAAGACCATCGCGAAGTTCACCCTTCCCAATCAATTTCCTGGAGCGTAAGTCCTGGATAATGCATAAATCAGCAAGAAAAATTAGCGCAGCTTGGTTCTCCTTGGTAAACCGACTAACCGAGATCAAGTTACATCGAAACTCAGGCACATGAAGAACGCGCCCCAAAGATAGACCAGACTGCAGATCGATTTTCCCAATATGTTTCACAGGTATACTGGCACCATTCGGTATCCGAACAGGCTTCCCATTCACAGTCTCTTCTTTACTAGATAACAACGATGCATCCATGGTGATATGTTCATTGCAGCCGGAATCAAGCAACCATTCAGAGTCAAAAGAGATTATACCTGCCATATGAGCTGCAGGATCGTCGGCAGCTACATCAGTCTTGCCAAAGAACTGCTTTAACTGTTCAAGTTGTGACAAAGTGAAGCCTGGAACGGGACTCTGCTGGTCGTGCTCAACCTGGGACGCCTTGGGTTCACGTGGCGGCCCATCAGTGGAGCTCCGAGGACGTCGACGATTGCCACGTTCTCCCGCCTTGTCACTAGACTTGTCACGAGGCGGATAACCAATAAGTTCATAACATGTGTCGCGGTGATGACCTGGTTTTTGGCAATGACTGCAGATCAGACGTTCGCGAGAAGGACGCCCAGACTTATCACCATCACCGCGAGCATTGAATACAGACGCCTCCAAAGAAACCTTGCGATTCTGAGTAATCGCTTTCTGCTGCTCCTCATTCAAGACCATATTAAAGGCTTCTGCAATGTTGGGCATTGGACGCATGGCCAATATCTGCGTGCGAACAGGAGCAAAGGCATCATCAAGGCCCATCAGAAAATAAAAAAGACGCGCTCCATCTTGCTGTTCGCGGACACGACGAGACACTCCGCATGTGCATAAGCCGCAAATATAGCTGGGTGGAGGCGCTATCGTCGAAGCTTCCTCCCATAAAGACCGAAGCCGGGTGTAGAAGGTGGACACAGAAAGCCTTCTCTTGCTGCAAAAGACTGACCATGCGACGAATTTCGTAAGCCCTAGACGAGCTGCCTTGGCCAAAACGACTCGCAGATCATCCCATATTTCTTTCGAAGTTTCAGCAAACCGCACGCTGCTGCGGATCTCTTTGTTCATCGCTGTTTTGAGCCAGCCTTTGACCATCGCATCATTGCGCTTCCAGGCATCAGCGGCAGCACCAGCCGTGGGTTGCTGAATCGAACCAGTAACAAAACCATACTTATCCTTAGCAAGTAGAGCATCTTTCATATCCAGAATCCACTCACCATAGTTGGAGGCCGTGAGAACGTCACCAACGAGCATATGTCCGGGGCTATCGGACTGATGAAGGGTATAGACAGACGGCAGGCCTTGAACCGCACCACCGCTGCTGCTGTTGGACGAAAGGGAAGAATCGGTGGAATGATCATCACCACCACTCATGATTACTGGGTAACAACGACTGAAGCGTTACCGCTTTGATACCATGAGAAAACTAGAAATTGCGGAAACGAAAGAGACGAGTTTTTAACGTGGTTCAGTCTCGCAGTGTACGAGACCTACATCCACGAAGAAGATGATATATCTTTTATTCCTTGATTACACTACTGAACAGCCAGTTACAGTAATATATATACCCTATGCAACAATCTACTAGGGTTGGATTACTACTCCTACACGCATACGTAGTATCACACGTGAATGGAGTAACTCCACAGCAAACATGGGTTGCTGTAGGTATCTTCGGGTTGGGTTGCTGCCTCTCGTCAACATTGCCTCGGCCCAATATAGTGAAACCTTTAACAAGAATGAATGCACAATGTTAAGTTTTCCAAGACTCTTGATCTCGTGGTCGATATTCTTGAAGAGGCGAAACATACCAGGAGCATGCTGCCTTTCGAGCTTGACAAAACCGGGCTGTACATAAGTTGCTGAGTTGATATCCATCCCGCAGTCAGGAAACGAAATGGCGAATGATCCTTTTACCTCAATCTTAAGGCGATTGTTCCTTAAAGCAAGTCACATATCCAGTTCACTCTTGGGGACACTGCTAATCCAATTTGACTCATTAAACGGTCCAAAACCAACAAGTTTTGCCTACATCTCTCCTCTTCCCATAAGTTCTAACAGTAATGGGAATACAAATTCTCGAACTTGTATGATAAATCCTCGGTCTTCATCATTCATACATCTCTGAAACCGATGCCTGCAACGTAGCTAATAGAACCCGTGGGCCGAAACAAACCATTCTTCGCCGAAAGTTTGAAGAAACACAAGAAAATCGAAAACCCTAGCCTCCTAAACTCTGCAAAATCAACTGTCGAGCTCTCAAAATCTTACCTTGCAAGCAGAGAACGAAAATGTCGAGCAAATTCCACCGCTGCCCCCTGCTCTAGATTCAGCCTGCCGAGTCGTCGTCGTCTCCGCCGCTCATCTCCAGTCGGCCACTGGAACGCCACGCTAGAAAGTACATAGATGTATTTGCGCCACGTCAGGCCTTTCTATAGTTTATAGGCTCTACGACACGCTGGAATCTAGCCAAAGCGGTGTTGTTTCATTGAGTCGATATTAAACAGTTGCATTTTGCAAATGAGGAGAGCATGGTTCGTAACTCCGTATCATCATTTTGTTAGAATGGAATTGTTGGGTCAAATATTGAGACGCTTGGGCTTCAGGCCCATAGTCACCCAAAACCCATAGTGAAGCAAGTCGGGCCCAAACAGGGGCAACGAGCCACCAAAACCTTCAAAGGTGGTCTTTCCCTACTAATACGACGAAGACCATCCGACATGATAAAGACCGCCCGACATAAAGACAAACGGACACCTGACTCTGAACCTCTCGGTACGGAGACTGACAAAGGTACAGTCTGACGATACAACCAAATACCGTCAAAGGCGTCCCAGGACGCCCGACAGGCTATTAAATGCCCCTGATCCAACCACAAGTAGTATAAATACTCCATGATGAACTAGATTGGGGGTAACCTCTATCAACTCCCTTCTCTCTCTTATTTACTATTCTCTCACTTCTCTCTCTAACTTAGGCATCAGAGGAGGTCCCAGGTTCCACCTGAGGACCTTTCTTTGCAGGGTTTCGAAGACCGCCATCAACCACCGAAGCCGCCAACGGTCAGTGAGGTCTCACAAAACCGCCTGGTACATTCCAGGCACAAACATTTTGGCGCCCACCGTGGGGCCTCACTACTCAGGAGCGGCGGAAAATGGGAGATGACTTCGAGACCCCTCTTAAAGGGATGACCGAGAACAACACCCTCCGAGGCCTCTCGTCGAGGGCCGAAGACGAATTGGAACTCGAAGAGGTTGTCAAGACTCAAGGCTTGCAAATCGCAAACATGCAAGACAGCCTCTCTCAAATTCTCCAACTCTTGAAGACGCGAGAAGATTGCGCAGAAGGCTCGAAAGGAGAACTCCGCAAGGTAAAACAGAAGGCCGCCCTTGTCCTTGACAGCCCCGCTCGGACGGAAGGCGGGGGACAGGAGGCGGAAGACGCAGACTTGGGCTTTTTGGAGGAACACTTGTGGTCTACCTATGGGAAGCACAAGAGCCCTACGGTTCTCCAAAACCCATTGTCAAGAGAACTCTTCAAGACCCTGGTTCCACCTAATTTCTCATCTCTGGGACTCCCCACGTACAGCGGGACTTCCGATCCTGCTGACCATTTGTGTGCCTTCATGCTCAAGATGCAACTCATCAATGCATCCGACTCCAACCTGTGCCGTGCCTTTCCAGTCACCTTCAGCGGTCAGTGTAGGACTTGGTATACCTCACTACCGGAAGGAATTATTGAGAACTTCGAACAATTCGCAATGCTCTTCTCCACGAAGTTTGCGTCTCAAAGGCGTCGCAAACTCACCATCTCCGCGCTCATCAATTGCCGACAGAAGAAGGAGGAGTCGCTCGCGGAGTTCTACGATCGATGGAACGCCATCGCATGTGAAATACAAGGCATTTCCTCGGTCGTAGCCGCGGGCAACCTTAGAATATTCACGACCAGCATCGAACTCAAGAGAACCCTAATAAAGAAGGAGGCCGCCCTAACATCTTGGTCCGAGCTAGACCAGTTGGTAAGGCGTGCAATACTACTGGAGGAAGCCCTGGCTACAGACGACCGGAACCAACAAGGCCGTTCGCGGTCCGAGCCGCACGAGCGCGGAGACACCCGACGTGGGAGGCGCTCTCCCGATCGAAGATCGTATCGCAACAGGTACTCTGAGCGAGACGGCAAAAGAGAAGTGATGTCCACGGACCGCGAGAGGGGGAGAGAGAGGCGCAGAGGAGGCAGAAAACCCGAAGCGTCTTCTGCTCAGGAGCCGCAAGATGGAAAAAAGTGGTGCGATTGGCACCAAATGGCCACCCATGACACCACCGAGTGCAGGGAGTTCAAGGCGAGTCTTCAATATCTAGTGCCAGGGGACCTACGGAGCCACCTCGAAACGCGACGGCCGCATCGGGAGCACTCCCAGGAAACGCGAGATGACTCCCCCCGCCCAGAAGCAGAAAAAACGAGGAGGTCAAGGAAAGGGAGATCAAGGACACCCCCGAGGAACAAGGCCTCATCACCGCAAAGGTAGTCTCCCGCTTACAGGCCCCCACGCAACGAAGATAACGGGATGGAAATCATAAACCATAGCCGGAGGAACGAAGCGCCCCCGAATGGAGGGAGACCGCGTAGCGCACTGTTTGAACGTGCAGCGCAAAATCCCAACCGAGGTCACTTTCCTACCAACTGAGCTGGCCAAAGAAGAAAATGCTGAAGACCCCTTGGTAGTCTCATTCAGGACCGCTAAATTCAAGGTCACCCGGGCTCTCGTCGACAATGGAAGCTCGGCATACATTCTCTTTTACTCAGCGCTTAAAGGGATGAAGAAGAGTGTCCAATATCTCAGTCCTTCCAACACCAGCCTGGTCGGATTCTCCGGAACCAAGGTCCGCGTCCTCGGGTCTATCACGCTAAAGGTTACTATAGGCGAGGGCGGGATCACCAAAACTAGACCAGTGGAATTCCATGTGGCGGACTGCCCCTCGGCATACAATGCCATCCTCGGGCGCGGGTTCCTAGCCTCGTTCGAGGCAGTGGCGTCCACCTGTCACCAAATGCTTAAATTCCCTAGCGGGGGACAAACAGGCCGCGTCCGGGGCAACCTCGAGGAAGCCAAGGAGTGCTATCAAGCCACCATCGAGCACCTCGAGGTCGACCTCGTCGACACAAGGGGAGGCGTCCCGAGACCTGAAGCGGTTGAAGGGGACGTGGCGGTTCCCCTAAACGAAGAACACCCAGAAAAGATGGTTCGCATCTCAGCGCACCTCACCAACGAGGAAGCCCAGAAATTACTCTTACTCCTCAGGGAGTACCAAGACCTCTTTGCTTGGGGCCCGGAGGACATGCCTGGCGTCCCCCGCAGTGTCTCCGAACACCGCCTCTCAGTCAAAACCAAGGCACGACCAATACAGCAGCGTAGACGACATTTGTCAGTCGAAAAGAAAATGGCTTTAGAGGAGGAGGTCTGACGCCTTCTCAAGGTTGGGTTCATCATAGAGGTTAAGTATCCCACATGGCTCTCGAACCCGGTCTTCGTGCGCAAGGCAGGAGGAGCTTGGAGAATGTGCATCGACTTTACCAGCCTCAACGCGGCCTGCCCCAAGGATGCATATCCACTTCCCCGCATCGATCAACTCATTGATGGAACCGCCAATCATGAAACCCTCAGTTTCCTATATATGTTCTCCGGATACCACCAAATCAGAATGGCGGAGGGCGACCAAGAGCTCACTGCTTTCATGACTCCCATGGGCAACTTCTGCTACGTAGTCATGCCCTTCGAATTAAAGAACGCCGGAGCAACTTATCAACGAATGGTGGACGCCGTCTTCAAAGATCAAATGGGAAGAAACATGGAAGCATACGTCGACGATGTGTTGGTCAAAAACAAAAAGGCAGGCGACCATCTGTCCGACCTAAGGGAGACTTTTGAAACACTGAGAGGGAGAAACCTAAGGCTTAACCCGCTTAAGTGCGTTTTCGGTGCCGAAGTAGGGAAGTTCCTCAGGTTCATGATCACGAAAAGAGGAATAGAAGCCAACCCGATTCAAATTGAGGCCATACGTGGCTTGAAACCGCCGAAGACCATCAAAGAAATCCAAGCTTTCAATGGTAAAATGGCCGCGCTAGGGCGATTCATTCCCAGATCCGTTGACAAGTGCTCTCCTTTCTTCCGAATGCTGAAGAAATCGGCATCGAGACTCCAGTGGGGCGCCAAATGCGACCAGGCTTTCAAATTGCTAACCGACCAACTCATTACACCGCCCATCTTGAGCGCCCCAGTCACCGGAGAGCGGCTTTACCTGTATCTAGCAGTGTCGGAACAAGCTGTGAGCTCGGTCTTGGTACGAAGGGCGCAGGATGGCTCCGACCGACCTGTCTATTATGTGAGCAAGGCCTTCTCCCAGCCGAAACAAGATATATGCCCGTAGAAAAGGCGGTCCTAGCATTGGCCTCCGCGGCTAGAAAGTTGTGCCCTTACTTTCAAGAGCACCCAATCACTGTCCTGACGCACCTTCCCCTCAAGAGCATCATGAGAGGCATGGACGCATCAGGACGACTAACCAAGTGGGCAATCGAACTCGGCGAATTCGACATAGAGTACGCCCTGAGGCCCGCCATCAAAGGGCATGTCCTGGCAGATTTCATCGCCGAAGGTTTCTCTCTCGAAGTCGCTTCCCCCGAGGAGCGCAATCGGATATGGAGCCTATTCATTGACGACGCAGCTGGGAAAATCGCCTCGGGGGCAGGAATTGTCATCGATTCACCTGACGGAGTAGTGCATGAAGTTTCGTTGAGGTTTAGAGAAATCAAGACCAACAACGTCGCCGAATACGAGGCATTAATCAATGGACTCCGACTACTGTCCACCTTGGGGACAACAG